CTAACACACAGATTTGTTTCCAAAATGTATTTTTGACTGAGTAAACCACTGCTGGTGATTTCAAAGGCTTCATTTTCATCCATCTTCCTTTTGTTTGCTTGTTTTTAAGGACTGACTGGCAGACAAGTGGGATTTTACAGGAAGCAGAGGGTCTATTTGTCACAGTTATCAGGCTGACTGTAGCGCTGTTTTTGCTTAAGGTCTCACCGACTACACACTCCGTCAAGAGCTTTCTTTTCCCAGAACAGAATTTGTGATTTGGCTGATGGCCCCAATATCACCAAACAGGATTCCTTTGCAAGATCCTTTGGCAAGTGTGTATCTATCTGCACCGTGACCAAGCCAGCATTTCTGTGCAACACATGATTTTTTTTCACAAAGTAAAAGCATACAGTGAAAGACAAAAGTGCAAGAAGCAGCCTGCGCTGCTCACAGCATTAGTATCCATCCCCCTGTCTGTGCATGTACATCTGAGTCCGCTAGTTTTTGCTGTCACCCTGAGTAGCCCTTATCTAATTACTCACTTCTCCTTTAACTGAGTCTTTTGGGTTTTTAGTTATCCTTTGATCCCAGCTTTAGTGCTTGAAAGACTATCCTATTAGAGCCACTGAAATGCTTTCTTCTTCACTGATGGCCTCATCTCTGTTATTTGAAGCTGTATAGCTAAGGCTACCTATTCTGTTATCTCCTGTATTCCTGCTTGAGTTTTAGCAAAGCCTTCAGAGCACTTAATTGTAAGTAGCCAGGTGGGGAGCAATACAAAATTAAGCAGGGAAACCAAGTTAAAAAATTCTTATAACCTTCTCTCAAGTCATCGCGCTAGCATCTTGTAGAGCGGAAGCAGAGAAAATTTTGCTCATAGGTTGTATTGGGATGTCTGTGCATCAGTGCATTTTGTTCTCCTCCGTGCTTTACACTGAATGACTGAATGATTGCTTTGCCTTTGAGACAGCATGCGTCAGCAGCAGTTTAATAAAACTAGTGATATCACTGAGGCTGCACTGTTTTCTAAAGATGGGGTGGACATACCACAACATTAAAGTGAGTTTTGAATGAATTGTAAATGCTGTTTAACCTACAGCAGTGGCAACATTGCAGATAAACAACGAATTTACTATTTTTCGCAGGGTTTGTGGCCAAAAGACTAACATTTATTCAAGAGCATTATCTGCTCTCATTTCAGAGAGCAGATGCAGATGAACATATGCATAAACTCCTCTTTCCATCCCCCTACATGCTGCCACTATATAAGAATATATGCCCACGTATATACTAACAATGGTAGTGTAGCTAGAGCTATTATTGCCTCGTCTGGATGGATGTCTATGCTACACAGGCACATCTGGAATGGAAAAACTTCTAAATATGTGCCTTGAATATTTGTACCTAGGCATTTCTGTAGACGTGTCCCCAGGGTGTCATGCCCCTCCAACGTATTACCTTTGTACTGTATGGACTTGAGATTGGTAAAACAATTCTGTTCTGGAGTAGTTTTTATAGAATATAATGCAGCTCATTTTTCACCACTGATTTTGTAAGTGAGCATTTATTACCTGATAGTCTTCTGTTGAAAGTAGAAAGCTTAATGGCAACCACTATTCTAAGATAAGTAGCTAGAAACAGTGTCCTCACCGTTTTCTTTTTCCTCAAAATCCCCTTTCCATTCTCCTTTACTACTGTGCATACAGGCAACAAGCAACTCACAAGTAGTCACCCATAGTCCCCAGAACGGCAACACTGAAACCGTGACCAGTCCCATTCTGCAGGTGCTCAGCACTCCTTCATGTCCTTGGAGGCATTGTTACCGGCACTTTGAGGGCTGGCTGGCAAGCAGGAAAGCCAAGCTTTTTATACCAAGGCTGAGAGGCGCTCTTGCAACCCTACCTTCTCTGCCCTATCCCCCTGGCGGCAATATGGGAACAACAGTGCCTCACAGGGAAGACAAAGGGGCAGGCGATGTTGAGGTAGAATTTGTGAATTTTTTTTTTACAGAAAGCTGTGGATAAAAGTGCTTCTATTTAAGTTGCTAAACACTGACCTTATTAACAACAATTTTTAATCATAAAATTGTAGTAGACACTAGCTCATCACGTAACTGAAAAGAGAGTAGCAATTAACTTAATGCCAGCTCTGGGAAGCAGTCAGGTAAGTAGCAAAGATTGTTCAGTTCAACCTAGGGCAGTCTTCTGATAGTGATCTGGAGAGAAAAAGCTCCATATCCCATTACCAAATCTCTATGACATTCAACACCATGATACACTGATAAGAACGCATGAATAATTCAGTTTAAGCTGATGTTAGCAGAAAACTCAACTGGACTGGGGATTGTCAGACTCCCCCTGGGTTCACTGGCAGAAAATAGCTTGGGTCAAATTCATTCTGTAGGTAACTTCTCGGAGGTAAAAAGAATAATCTCAGCAAATAGTTTTGTCCTGAGTCTCTACAGGATTAGAGAGTCAGCTATATCCTTTCATGCAGAGAAGACTTTGAAATAGTACTTTTTTTTTTTTGAGTGCTTCATGCTATAGTTGTTCTCAATAGTTTGATGCAAACACTTGCTACCCGCTCTAGGAAGACGCAAGTTTCCAAGTTTTGGCAGGCTGGACATGCTTCACCCAAAAACTCCCTAGCTGATTTAGTGGCTTCTTATCTTTCCATATTACCCCTTATGTGGATTTTCTTCTTCCTTTCCCTAGTTCACTCTCACTGGATAGTAAGGATCCCTGCTGCCCTTTCCTTGCCAAGTCAGGGACTGCATGTTCTTTAGTCCCCCTTCTCCCAATGGCCCTCCTTCTCTCCTCTCCATGCTCCTCATTTGCAGTTTTCTGATTCCCCTTCCCTTGTCTGTTCCCGATGTCCAGAACAACCCCGGACAGGCTGAAGTCAATTGAATTAGAGAGGATGATTGGATTCCGCAAGAACTTATTTATATGCAGGCAAATAAAGCAAAGCACTGAGTGAAACGTAAGGCCTTTTGAACCAAGCTGATTAACAACCACAGAGAAAGAGCCTGAACTGAACTGATAGCAGAAAAGGATAGTTCAGGGAACTGTAAGTTGAGAACTATTTAGGAAGGAAAAAAGGCTCCATTGCAACACATAAAAGCTACCATGACTCAGCTGTTATTCAAGATACTGCGCATTTACCAGTGCATGCAATGGGACTGTGATTTAGGCCAATGAACATGTTTGATGGTTTGCAGTTCCCTTGATGAAGGGAAGTAAAAGGCCATAAAGAAGGAGATATTTGTCCACATGTAAAATGTAAGAATTCTAAAATCTGGAGATCTCTCATCACAGGAGAGGCGTTATCTGAGCCATGATGTTTGGGCATCCCATTGAGGTCTGAGAGAGATCTCCTCTAACTCGTTCATTAAAGGAGCCTTCTGGAAGAATCAGAGACATCTATACGAGAGCTATCCCAGTCACTGAGGAGCAGGGTTATGCTGTACTAGATGCTGGAGATATAGGAACTACGTGAACCACTATTAGAGCTAAGAGCTCCTCCCTGGCCAGCTTCTCCCTGCACCTTTCAGAAGACTTGTCTTATTCAGCTTGAGTCACATACAAAGTAGGCTTTGATTGCACTTCTAAATGCTCACCATCTTCCCTTTCCTTCTCCACATGGTATATTTAGGTATATCTATTCTGAGGTACTTTTACCTTTCAGGCCCACACACCAGACTTCACAAGCTCAGCTCAGAAATTGTGAGCATGCATAAGTAAGCTAAGGCCCACTTGAGAAAAGGACGATGAGACCCTTGTAGCAGATTAAGGCTTTTGTTCCCTTTCTGCTGTCATCTAGGGGTAGGACAGATCAGCTCTATGACTGATGCACCCCCTCTAGTTGTGAGGGAATACTCATCTTTGGTTCTCACAGAGCTGGAGGATTTTTTAAACACCTGTTCGGGCCAGATTAGGCCTGTCTGAACTTGCTCTGCCCTAGTCAACCGTCTGACACCTGCCTGTTTACTACCTTAGAGCAACAGTGATGTTAGCCCCTCTATCAGAAGGGTAAACTGCCTGCAGGTATACCAAAGTATACACAGAGTACTGCAGTATCCGAGAGCGCAGCTCTAAAAAGGCAGCTCACAGGAGAGCTACTGCAGTGGATTAGCCCAGCGCTTTATAACATACACCTTTGCTTTTAAGAGGCTCCCTAACACGCCCCAAACAGAGGTGTTTCAACAACTGGGAAGGAGAATGCAGGAGAATTGAAAGACCAGTGCAGAAGACTCAGAGGCGAGCTAGAGGGCAGGGACTGCCAGGATACATCCAGGCTCGAACCTCTTCACGAGGAAAGGGCTGGGGCAGGGACACCAGCATGATGCTTTCATGTACTTAAAGCTCTGGTATTTGTGATGATTATAAACTCATCTCCATAACAAGGAATGATAGTATAGCCTCAGATTTTGACTTCACTGCACACCGAAGCAGAAGTTTGACTGTAAGGAGAACTCAATAAATCATGTTTGGGCATTAAAAATATTCACTCTCTCCCCTAACAGCCAGTTTGCACCCACATGAAGTCCCTTTTTACATCAATATTAACAAAAACCTTACTAACCATTTCTTCAAAGGGTGGCACAGTCCAATAACCTGAATATATTGGACAGTGAAGCATCTCATTAACCTAGAAATATCTGTTAGGACTGGCTTTCCTGAATCCTAGTTAGAAACAAAAAGCTCGGTGAGAAATGCAAATATATTGGATGTGCTCCTCCCTATTCAATAAGCCGTCACATAGAGGGTAACCAAAATGTTGGCTCAGGACTCCCAAGCTTACCTTCTGGGCTTTCTTCCCTTTAGAAATGGAGGCATTTCCATGATACCAAGCAGATGGCTGAAATAAGCATCTTTCCTAAATCAAGCTACATGTGGAAGCCTAGAATCTCTGTAGGGTATGAAAAAGCTACAAGCAGGAGGAATGAGGGGGTGGAGATGAAGGAAGGAGGAGGAGGGAAAGACAGGGGGTGGAGAATAACAGTGGAGAGCAGCAGTGGTCCAGCCCCTCCGAATCTGAAAAGCATCACAGGAGCCTCTGGATAAAGACCAGCCTCAGTAGCAAGGCTAGGAGAGAGGATTTCTGCTCAGTGATAAAATATGGTGAGTAGGATTTTTGTTATTTGCCTTACATGTTTGCTGTGGTGCATTGGCATCTCCTCTGCTCTGGCACTCATTGGGACTACAAGGGACTGTTATTTTAGGTTGACTGCTCATTTTTGAAGGAGTGCTTTTCATTTATTTTTCCATATATCTGACCAGTGTGTAATTATGTTTGTATAAATGCACATTCAATCTCCCTTTAAAGCAATATATTACTGAAAATGGCCAAAGCTTGCAAGGTTAACACTTTGCTGCCTGGTACAACAGGCTGCTGGCCACGGCAAGTAATAAACGCACTGTTTCCCTTTCAGGTACACAGCAGAAATTTCTGCTCAGCTGCATTGCCCTGGCAATAGACTAATGGTTCAATAACTTCCTGTTTGGCAGCTCACACTCACACCGCTCTTTCACAAGGTGCAATAAGAATATTTCAAGCAGTTACATTTCTCTCAGCTTCAGGTATAGAAGAAAACTGAGTGAGGGGTGCAGAGGTTTTGTCAGAGAAGGAACCAGCTCCTTTTGTCCCTCCTTCCGCCCCTGCCGCATACCCAACGCTGGGCTGGGGGAGCAGTGGGTGCTGCTCTTCCCTGGGCGATCCCTCCTGTTGGTACGCACCGTGACTGTGTGCTGGACGTAGAAACATGGTTAATTTTACTATGAAAATGTCTTAGCTTTACTGAACAGTTGGCAGGGCTTAACTGAAGGTTCAGACTTGCCTATAGCACACTGCTAATAAGATTAAGCATTTAACTACACATCCTTCTAGCATTCTGCTGGGGAGCGTAAGATTTTACTTTGTGTGCTCAGTGGAATTAAGATTGAAGAAAAGCAAGCCAATGTGCTTTTTTCCTGGTTCTTAGTGAGAAAGCGCCTGACTTAAATGTATATGCAAATAATTAGGCAGCCTGGGCTGCCTACCCAAGAGAGACAGGTGATTACGGGGAATGATAAGATACTGTCACTGATTATAATGAGAGTAGTACTCCAAACAAGAGGCATGATCTCAGTGCAGGTTTGTGTGTCACACAGGTTTATTTAAAAATAAACATTCTTCTGTTTTGTGAATCATGACTGTCCCTGATTACATCTTCCATCGTTTCCACCCTTTTTTGTTGTTTCCTAACAGCGATGAGATACTAGCAGAATAATCAGTTTACATGAGAGGATGAGCGCTGCTTTAAAATCCTCTTTGGTTTCCAGCATAAGAACTTTTACATTTATTTGCTTGCAAGAAATAGTATTACGATAACTGCAGGCAGGATACCACCACCCTCTAGCAAGGAAGTTGATTTATAATTAAAAATGTAACTAACAGAGGAGAATATATGCTCATGACTGTGTGTAAGCATTTCCATTATTAACTTCATCTTCTGAGTTACAGAGGCGAGGTTTGTGAAAGTAAATAGTCTTATTCCATAAATAGCCCCTTCTTTACTGGGAGAACTAACTCTTTCTTATGTAGTACTAATTGATTAGATCCAAAGCATTAAAAATTAGTATCATCCACTGATTTTAAGAGTAGCCATGTTTCTCAGCTCCTCATGCTTGTTTTGTTTATGCATTTTAAGACTTCAGGCTGCTGCCCAGCAAAAATCCTACCAAGGTTAACTAGGCACAGGAAGGGAGCCCTGGTGCGCATCCCGGAGTGCTCAGTTCTTTTCCCTTTCCTGTCGTACAATTTCTTCATGAAATATTTTAAAATATATTTTGTGTAAAATGTATTTCATTTAAAATACACACAATACACATCCAAATGCACAAACCAGATAAATGTTTTCAGGAAATTTAATTATGCTACCATTCCTGTTTGGAGAGCAGGGGTAAAATTTTCAGAGGTAACTTTGATATACAGGATCTTACATGCTATTGATATGAAGCCACTTGTGAGAAAGAGATTTTGGACTCATTCCAAAATAGCATCTTAAAACATAGACGCTATGGAAACAGAGTTCTTTCCCTCTTTTTTAAATATAAAAAACTAACGTGGTACACAAGGTTTGTCGGTTCTTATTTAATACAAGCAAAATGCTTGGAGGGAGGCAAAATTAGACTCAAAGTGGTATGTGGAGTCCTGCTTGGCAGAAGTAAGGCACCACCTTCACAACGTGCCATTTTTTAAGAACGAACTAAATGTGAAGAAGTGGAAAGAGCACTCCTATCTCCCCTACAAAGCAACTACTGTATCCTGAATTTTTTAATCTCTAATCTTCAACAGAGAGACAATTACACATAAATTACAAATAAAAAAAGCAAGTAGGAGTGTCCAAACTAGACAGCTGATAAGATTTTGGAATCACTGAGCCATAATTATAGTACATTTTTCCCTACTTAAGCAAAAACAACTTTGAGCCAAAGTTGCAAAAGCTAGAGAGTTCAATCTATATTTCCTCTTTATAATCTTATTATTTCTATCTATGCAACATTACTGAAGCAGATACTCTCAATGTCTCAGTGGGCTGATCTTCCTAGAGTTACACTCAAGAGGAATGGTATTTTAGCTAATGGCAGATTAAAGTAAAATATATGTTATCTTTCTTTAGAAGATGAACTAACCAAACCTTTTCCACGAAGAGATAAACATTGACATCAGCCCCAGAAGTCAAAGAAAGTCTTTGACTTTCTTCGAGAGAAGGAAAATCCTACAGAAACTCCCAGACCCCAGCCTGGCAGAAGACTTTGGGAGCCGTGGGCAGAGGCAGGTGTGGCCCCCTGTTTTCTCTGGCCTGCATGATGATGGCAATATTTAGAGAGCTTGACTTCTGTCTCCACCCATCTTCCTCCTGTGTCCTACTGAATATCCAGTCCAGCTCCACCACACTCTTCTGTGGCCTCCTTGTCTGTTGACCTGGACTTAGGTAGAATTTAGGACATCTGAATATGGCTCTTATTAAACAGAGCACTTAGCTAACTCAATCTAGTTCAGGTCCTCATAACCAGGACTTTAAGCAATTGCTCTGACTGTCCTAAAACAGAGTCTCACAGTAAAACTCTTCTGTGTTTGTGAGAAGGCTGTCAGACACCATGCACAGATTGTGTATGTTTGACCATGAAGTATCTCTGCACTTCATGAGCAGTATTATCCAAATCTATGCCAAAATCTTATTTCCAGTATACTACAAGCCAGATCTAATTGCCTGCTTAGAAGCTGATAAAAGCCTAAGAATGAGCAGCAAGTATGATCAAGTCTGACAAAAATGCACTTTCCTATAGGTGGAGATTCTCAAGACTTCTGCACCTAGGATCATGGTAAATCACAACTAAACTGCACTCAAGTAGAATAATTAATAGCCCAGTAGAAGTAATCCTATGGATGCTGAAAAGGAAATCAAGTAACAAAAATGAGAATAAATCTAGAGTTTGTTAAAAATAGATCAAGCCAGCCTTAGTAGACTGGCTGCCAGTTTCCACAAGTTCCTGTTCTTTGGAGTAAATTTTAATTTCAAAATATATTTCTTTCGCAAAGGTGAAAATCAATCCCTCATATACCCTTTATCTCTGTGGAAGAGGAGACATACTGCAAGTTAAATCCAAGAGGAAAATAATTAAAAAGGAGCAGAGACAGACAATTGTGTAGCTGAGGGCACGGGTCACAAAATCCCAGAGAAGGTGTACCATTTTATCAACGCTCAGAATCATTTTTCACAGAATTTTGATTAGCTTTACATAACCACTGGAGGAATACGCTGTAACTTTCTCTTACAGTACTTTAATGTGAATCTAACTGCTCTGATACCTTCTCTGAAGTTAGCGATACAACTTATGTTCCTGAAGACAGAAGAGAAAAAAACGGTCTCATGGTATAGCTCATTACAACCCGCAATGGTAAATGTATTAATAGATATAGAAAAGAGAGCTGCATTGAATAAATATTTCTGTTCCATATTTGGAAAGATGCACATCAATAATATATCATATGAAGATGAAGAGGAACTCATAGTATAGGAAGTTATAAAACAGCATCTGGGATGAATATTTTAATAAATCTGCAGGCTCTGGTGACTTGCTCTTAAGAGCCATAAAGGAGTTGGCTGAGGATATCATCTCTCTCTTGGTGTTCAGGTTTAATAGAGTATGGAATAATAGGGAAGATTCCCAAAGGTGTCCCAGTGTTCAAACAGGATAAGTAGGATGACACAATGAACTAGATATTAGCCAATCTGGCATAAATATTGGGGGAAATGAAAAAAAAAAAAGGGATTAAAGAAGTTCAAGAATTAGAATATGAAGATGATGGTTATATGGAAAGTAGGCTTTAAAAAAAACTAACTTAAGTTTTTCCTCCTCAGAGGAAACTGAAAAGCAACTGTACAGATGTAAAAAACCTCTAAAAAGTGTTTGCCTTTGTGTCTTAAAACTGATTTTACTTGAGGGCAAAGGATGGCACTGTTAGGATCACTGGTAGCAGAGGCAACCCATCAGTAGGTTTTCCATTACTGTACTATATGTATTCTCAGCACGTAAGTTAGTCATGCCATTTGGGCTTTCATGTTAAACCTATCTGTCTAACATATAGAAGGGAAAGACAAAATAAAAAGGAAAGAAAAACAAGCCTTGCAGTTTCTAGACACAGTTCTCAAATTGGCCGTTTTTCTTATCAAGGAGATACAATTCAGATCCAAGTTTTCTTTTCTCTAAAAATTATCTACTGAACTCCTGAATTCTTAGCTCTAATAAATACCATACTTGATAAAAAAACAAATCCACCCTAAATGCCTCCTTAGGAAGCAACAGAAAAATGTTTATTTCATCCCAGATACACAAATTCCTACAAAAATGATTCTTACTTAATACTCAGGATGGCCAAAACCAGCTGTAGGACCTCAAAGAAATTTTCTAGGCATAGTATTGCTATAACGTTAGCATTTGCCCTGTCACTGTCCTGTAGGGAGCTTCTCAGCAGCAGGACTTCCTACAGTTGTACCTACTTGTACAACTGCAAGGGGACTACGATGTCAGACATTTAATGTTGGGGATATTAATAGTTGGTATAAAATCTTGTGTCAGCTGTTTCTGACCATTTTCCTGTCTCTGTTGAAGTTCTGCACACTAAACTTCTCCTAAATCACACCTTGCTTTTCAATGAAGGAATATAATAATGTCCCAGTGACCTATTTCTAAAAATGCAAAACAGGTTTCCTGCAGCATCAGTGAACTCCAGATATCTGACAGTAAATGTTTTCTGGCTTTCATTAAGGATGATCCGCAATACTGTCATGCAGCCCCAAATGCAAGTCAGTGTGCCAACACCACAGTCATACTGATAGACCCCCTCATCTATCACCACCCACCATGTTCTCCATAGCAAACATATTCTTAACCTAGAATAGTCACACTGTACCCTTACGTTCTCTATCATTTCTCATTGAGCTACATTGAGTTGTAAATGTTGCTAATCACCTGCCAGTTTGCAGCTTCCCTGAGAAATGGGCTGTTGCTGATCTGCCTGCCAGAGAAGTGCAGCGGGTGAGAGAACCCCCAGGTACGCAGACCCTTATCTTCTTCTGTGGTATTGCTCAGGGTATTGCTGTTTCCTAGCAAGCCATGGCAATCAGATGCCTCTGGATGACTATAAACAGCTGTTATAATTTAGGGAAGCCAAAAGACTGCTCTAAGTTGTACTTTAAGAGTATACAAAGGCCACGTTTGGTGCTGAATTTAAAATCACCCTTGCTGACTTTGTACTGGGTGCAGGTCTGGATCCAAGGATCTGCTCTGAAATCACTCTCAGTTCGCTCTTGGGAGTATTGGTAGTTTTTCATTCTGTCAGCGTTGTTACACACGGTTTGTCAAGGAACGTTAAACAGAACACTGCATTGCTTGTGTGTATTTCAGAGTTCAATGGCTCTAGGTGGTTTTAGTTATGTCTAAACAATGCAAAACAAGACAAACCATGAATTGAAGTTTCATTTAAGAAAGAACTGAGCACATTCTTTCAAGAACAGGACTTGGAGCTTTAACCCTGCTTCCCATCCAGCAAGAATTTGGTTTCTCTGATGGCTTTCAGTAAGTACCTGGTTCATTCCTGACCTATCTTTATGTAATCACATTGATATACTCACGATTCCAGTTGACATAAGGCAGGAAAGAATCAGATGCTGTGTGTCTACAAAATAATTGCTGGAAAACTGAAAGTGTCATGGCTAAAAAAAGTACTGAGTAAATAAATGTATGAAAACATAAAATAGATTCAATACTAAATCATACAGGCATAGACCAAAATTCACAGTGGTACAGGTAATACGGTATGTTTAGAAACTAGCTAATCAATGCACAATGAAGATTCTCAGCGCCAGTGCCTCAGTGTACTACACTGGTCTTTGTAAATCCGAAATGACACTTCTGTCATAATTAACAGTGATTTTGAAAGTGGTTTTTGATTTTTTATAATAAAAGTAGTACTGCAGAAGAGTACACATTATGCTCAGGAGGAAGCAAAACTGGTAGTTCAGTTTCAGCATGCTTCCCAGGGGAGTACCAAGGTTGATGAATTTTCTATTCACAGGTAGGGATTATTTTAATATAAAATGAGCATCATGTGTCAAAAATTTGATACCCTTTTCTCAGGAGATTTCCCGTCTTGAACTCTTCATCCTCCCAGGAGGAACAGACTTATGAACTGTCGCCTGCCTGTGGCATGTTAAAGTTCCTTTGGCTTTGCTTTTCACTGATGCCACTTCTGCTGTTGGAACAGCATCCCCATCTTCTTAAAAGCCATGTCACAGTTGCAATCCCAAATCCAAACACCCCTCCTCTCTAACCAACAATGTGTTCTCAGACTTCCAGCTACCAACCCATATTCCCTGCTGTGTTCTCCTTGCTGGGTCTTCCAGCCTTCGCAAATGTCCTTCTCTTTCATTTGATCTGCTTCTCATGCAACACTATGACTCGGAGACGGACATTTCTGGTAGGAAATAAAAACAATTGTATCATGCTAATATCTGCCCCTCTGCTCTGCAATGGTTTTCAAAGTATACACAGGCTATTAGTGACATAGTGCTGGGGTAAACAAACACCTATTCCAGCTGAGTCCTTTCAGAGACTGCTAGCTGAATGCTCACTGTTAGCCACCAACCTAAGTCATATTTTTGCTCTTCTGTTTTCTTTACAGAAGCAGATGTGAGGAAGCAGCATGGAGCTCAAGAGAGGAAAAACCTTCATAAAATCCAGTGTGCAACATGAGAAAGCACCGTCAGTGCATATGATTCCTATAAACGGGATACCAGAGTGAAGTTGAACTCCAACAGGCATGTTTGGCCACACACAAGAATTACAGATTTTCTAGCAGAGCAGCAAGGAATGGGGCTGGTGAAAACAGCTCAGAAAAATCATCTGGGTCTTCCTACAAACTTGTAAGGAAGAGTAAAACCCATGACTGTGTTACTGAGGCAGACAAAACAGAGCAGTGTAGCCCCAGCAACAGAGCTTGTGAGGAAGGTTTCTCTGGAAAGGGTAGGGGGCGACTTGTCAATAGCATCAGCTTTTCAGGAGTGTCCAATTCCAGCAGTAAGAAGGAGTGTGCGGTCAGTCCCAGCCCGTCTGCATGCAACAGTCAGCAGATGATAGATTACAGGAACTTTGTGCCACAGATGCCTTTTGTACCAGCTGTTGCAAAAACCATTCCCAGGAAGAGGATTTCCCTCAAGAGATCTAAGAAAGGGCTCAGAGATATATTTCATATAAAAAAGAATAAACCAGAGAGCCTCACATTCTTGGCTGAGAAGGACAAGAATCTGTCCTCTCCAGGCTGCAAAAGTGAGTTGTCTGGGCGCCTTGCAAAGTATCTTTTCAAAACTGGAGAAACATCTGCAGCTGATTGCTTGTCACAAGACTGCTCAGACAGCGAGCTGCAGTCCGACTCTTCCTACGACTGCTGCAATACTCTGTGTGAAGACGTTGCCTCGCTGAAGAGCTTTGACTCCCTCACTGGCTGTGGGGAAATCTTTGCTGATGAGAGCTCTGCTCAGGTGGAGCTGGAGAACAGCAAAGAAGTTCTGGTGAGACGAGTCAAGCACAAAGAAAGCCCCATCATGGGCTCTTTCCAAGGGGGGGTGGAGCAGCTGGCCTCTCCTGGCCAGAATGAGACAGTTGAATTTGCAAAGTTTTGGGACAGCATCAACAAGTCAGTGAGGTTACATCAGAGCGCTCTATTTGATAAGAAGTTACTGACGATACCCAGTCCTGATGTGGAAAAGGCTAAAAGCCAGGCTGCTGCATCTGTGCCAGACCCCCAAGTGTCTCCTGATAAAGATGGTGACAATTCCAAAGAAAGCTCCATAGAAACAGGAACACCAAAAAGTGACAATCAGGAATCCACATCCACAAGTGATGAAGGCTATTATGATTCATTCTCTCCTGGACAAGATGATGAAATGAAGGAAGCTCAGACCCCTGGCATCCCCAGTAAATTTCCAAGAGACAGCTACAGTGGGGATGCTCTTTATGAGCTCTTCTATGACCCAAATGAAGTGAAAATAAACCCAGTCCTAGATGACGACTTGTGCACGTCTGAAAGCATTTCAGAACAAGCCATTGAAATCCCTTTGTCCATTTACAGCTTTCATGTTGGAGCTGAGGAAAACATGGCTTCCCAACCAGCTGTAGACATTATCAGCCAGGGTTTTTTCCACAGCACGTGGAAAGGTAAAGAATGTTTGCTAAAGCTCTGTGATACTGAACTTTCATTGACTATGGGGATAATAAACTGGCTGCGAAAACACTCAGGGCTTGTTTCCTCCCCAGACTCTCTTAACAGTCCTCAGTCACAGCTAGAAAAGTGTGATGATACAATAAACTCTCCCAACCCCAGCTCAGACCAGAAAGTGAGCGCAGAAGCTCAGCAGGAGAAACAAAGCACGAGAGAACCTAAGACATGTAACCTACAGGTGTCTTTGGATGAAAGCAAAGAGGGAACCCAAGCCTGTTCAGTAAATGCTGCTGAAAGAGACCACAGCCTAGACTCTTACCTTAACACTTCTATTTTGGATATCCAAGAAAGGGAAGAGAATCACCACAAGGATTCATCTGCAATGCCTGGGACTGTAGAAGCCACCAGAGCATCAAGTTACGCACCACAATCACAGGCTAACAGAGACAATCTGCAGGCATCATCAGTTGAGAATGAGAAGATGACAGTTTCAAAAGGATGTGAGAACCTTGGAGAAAAAAACCCATCGACAGAAAGTTTGAGCAGAGAGACTGACTTCCAGAGCTCTGAAAACCCTTTATTAAATGATAATCTTGAAGTAGAATCATGTTATTCCTACAAGACTGCTGCAACCTCACCCCCAGACCCCCTGGACAGGGAGGATGGAAATAAATCCATGTATCATTCTCTATCTATAACCCGTGACAAGCCAGTGCAGCCTCTTACTCTGAGACACTTTCAGAGCTACATCAGCCCTGCTCCAAGGGAGAGCAGCACTAACATAGTGCAGCTCTTGGAGCGCTGTGTAACCCAAGTGGCATCCTTAAAAATCAGCTATGAAAACAAGCACCTGGAAGACAAATGCATTGGAAATGAAATGAACAATATCATTTGTAAGATGTCACAGTACCAGAACAAGTTACTGTTGCACAATGAATGCAACTGCGTTGCCCAAAAGTCGGAGTACTCCAGTCTCCCTCGCACAAACCAATACAATTACGAAACAAGTCTCAGAGCCAGCAGCAGGTATCATTTGAAGCAAAAGGGGGAGCAAATTTGCTCTCAAGATCAGAGAAGTAGAGCAAGAATCCTAGATGAGGTCACTAGAAGCAAGATAAATTTTGAATATGCCCAGCTAAATAACCAAGCCCTTTCCTATTTAAAAGACTTCACACTTGATCTCAGTCCAAGTGATTCTGCCCCTACTACAGCTCTTAGTAGGCCAACTTTTTTACCTCTCTTCAACTCTGTCTGCTCAGACATACCGGCTAACTTTTCACAAGCTTCATACAGCACCAACGTATCTCTGGCGAAACCACTGCAGCCTAAAGAGGCCAAGCAAGGCAACCCCGGGGTGTGGAGTTACGCAGAAGCCCCCTGCAAAGGACTGGCTGGAGGGAGCGCTCTGCCCTCGCATCCAGAGCCAGCTGCCCCCGACATAGCAGTGGCAGGGAGGAACCATCAATAACATGCTCGCATTGAGAAGGTGAGTGCATACGGGAAGTCTGAAAATAAACGTGAAACAAATGAAATGACATCTGCTCCCTTTTAATGGAGTGAGGCCTATGACAGCATATTCTGCTAAATACTAGGGCTTGTCAGCATTTTCCAATTTCATTGCTCTTAACGTCTGCTTTAAAGTGGCAGGTAACAGTAATCAAAATTTAAATTACACTGTTCCCCAAACCAAGGGCCAAATATTGCAGGCACTGAACTCCCTGAGTCCTATGAGTCTCATGCAAAGGTTGAGGCCAAGTCTTCTGCCCAGATGCAGCCATTTTTACACCAGTTGAAGTAGGGAATTTTTTCCATACTCCCACTCCTGGATCTGCCGTGTTTCGAACAACATTGCAGACACAGCTGCTAGGCCACAGACTGCAGAAAACACTCAGCCTCAGGTTCTCGCAACTGAGTCATGAAATGCACTTGCTACATAATGACAGCTTTGAAAATTATGCCCTGCTTCTCCTCAGTAGTGATAATGGGACATTAGGCAGAGCTCTGTACTGAGTCCTGATGTGTCACATGAAAAAGCCAGGGATCACAACCCTTAGTCACAGAACAGACAGCCATACTCTGTCTTGCAGGCGTGTGTGTACAATGCGCCCACAAGCACACGCGAAAGCCCACAATACTATGCTGCTGCTGCTGCTATAAGTAAGCGTACTGGAAGTGTACCAGAGCAGACACTATCTGTACATACCACTCTGAGGGATCCTCTGCCCTCCAGTTGCTGAGAGGAATCTGTCCTAAAAGGATAAAACATACATAAATTCTCTAGCGTATGCCCTGGCTAATTGGAGAGATTAGCTGAACTCTGCCTCCGGCACTCTGAGAAAGAGCCTCTGGAGGTTGTGGAAGATGGAGGGGAAGGCTGCAGCAAGAGCCAGGGAAGAGAGTGAAGGAACAGCAAGTAGACATTGTTGAACGGAAGGAGCCAGGGAACACAACACTCCTCTAGCTCTTGTTGCTCACACCGGTGTGACTGCTTTCCGGTCATCTCCAGAGGTTTCTCAAGTAGCACAAACTAAAAAGGACAGTGTTTCTTTCTACATGACCCTAAAATATCTTTATAGTCTCAAGTCTTGGGAGATTCAACCTTGCTATTTACCTCTTTGCTATTTTGCCTCTACTTCACTATTTACCTCTGAATGAAAATGCCCTTCCCCACTAAAAAGTCTCCCAATGAAAAGGAAAGATATTTTTGAGAGATCTCTGAGAAGTTAAGGGCCAGAGACAGTCAGTCTTTGATACCCTTTACCAACACATTATCTAGCTATAACCTGTTCAACAGTGAACTAGATCTTCCTCTAGCAAAAAAAGTGTTTTCCTCAGTATGGTTTTGGTTTTTTTTTCACTTGAATTTTGTTGCAAACAAGGGTGCCTGTCATGCTGGCTTTCTTATGTCACATTTACACTGAAACAACTGATTCTAAGGTCAGTATCTCTTTGTGCATTCTGAATGCAACCCCCAGTGAGACACAACCTACCACCACCTTGATAATGTTTAAAAAAGAAACTCTTTGTCTTCTGACTCATCCTCACAACCGCAAGACTCCTCCTGCTGCTGGTACTGCCTGACTCCCCATCCCAATAGAGGTATCATCATTTTTGGTCAGAGCCTGCCTTTTAAGAACACACCATAGCCTTTAGAACTACTTGCCTCTGTGAGATTATTTCTGAATTTAAAAATTCAGAACAGGCAAGGAAAGATTTGCAGTCACAGCTAGTATATGTAAGAAATCAGAGCCAGGCACAGCTTTCTGGGGTTAGAACAGCAGATTAGTTTGTGCATTGGCCTGATATTTCTAGCTTGTTGTGAATACTAATCCACTGGGTACTGCTCGATATGTCCTTGCCTTCATAGGCTAGGAATGCACAAAGAGATGCTAGTTTTGACAGAGGAGTTACTTGCTTTCTGATGGAAACAGAGAGTGGAGTCATAACTGCTGTGATTGTCAGAAGTGGTAACAGACTATATCTTTACGCTGTACAAGACATACTGCAAGTAGACATTACTGGACTCGGGGCATTTTCTAGTGCATCGTGTCAAATAGCAGCTGCTATATGCCACCACTTGTCAGCACCGATACCTGCAGCGTCAGGAACGTGACGCAGTTCATATGCTACCACCTGAGTCCCACAGAGAAGCTAATTTAAGTTCTTTCCAAAATGGATCTGCAGATTTGTGATAGATGTATCTCTAACACGGTAAATGAATGGTATTTTTAAATATACATGGAATTTGCATATTTGTGAGGTGACTTTGAGCAAAGGTCGCATTTCAAGGAATCACTTTACTATGGGCTTGCTCTTTTGTAACAAAGCTCTTACAGAAAATGAATTTACACAATAATTAAAACGGCATTTAACATGGCATTGTTAAGTTACTGTGGTGACAAACACTGCCATGTGGCCAAGTTTTCCTAACCAGTATCTTCTTGCCTGCCCACATTAACAGATGGCTTATAGGTTTGATGGAAATTTTCATTTTTTTGGAAAGTGACTCAGGATCTTTCTTCAATCCTGGGGGTGGTGGTGAAAAAGAGGCCACATACAAACATGGTATCACCCCTGAACACCATGGAGACAGACATCATCGAGAAACACTCCTGCATTGGACATGATTGTGCAAACCCCAAGAGCTTACACATGAATGCTCTAAGCATCACTGTTTTAAAAGGTTGTACTCAGGGAATGGGAGATAAATGACAGTGCAAGAGGTCGGCTCCCTGCTTTGCCCCACAAACAAACGCTACATAGGCAGCTCCAGTGCAGCCCCTGCTCCTCCCGTGGACTCCAAGGCCTGACCTAGAAAAGGGAAGGTGAACTTTCTTGCCATTTAACATGCTGGCAGAGAAAAAGCTGATGGTAAAAGTCGTTAAATTTTCCAGGAACTGTCACCCCTTCTTCACACGTCCAAATACCATGGGAACAAATAAACCCATCCCCTCTGCTCCTACTGACGTGCAGAGTCCCCCTCTGTCATGCCTTTTCTCTTCAACTCCTCCACTTTGCCAAACTCAGATCCCTAACTCTGATGCTGCAGGAAGTGCCAGTCCCAGCTCCTCTTCCATTTCTCCCTTCTTTTTCGTTTTAAAGGGCAATCTGAAACTGCTTCATATTTGAGTTCACCAGGAGGGTAAGTAGCTCCTATGGTAAACAGCATTCTTACATGGGGATATAGAAGGGTTATGTGGTCTGTGGAAATTACCAGTAGGAAGTGATTGAAAGACATAATTTTTATTCTTCAGTATAGAAAGGCCAAGAATTAGGAAATGAATGCAGTCCTCCCCCTGAACGTGGTGAGGACTCCTAGTTTTGTATATTCATGGACCATAGGAAGCAAGTTCCAAAAGTTTGTGCTTTTCCACTGGAGATTTTCCAGCAGGAAAATCTTCAGTCTGACCAAGGCAACATTGTCCAGCTGCAGTGTTTTGGGCTGTCTCTTCCTGACTAAAATCACTGGAACTGACAGAATAGGCAGGCAACAACACGTTTCATCACAACGAGATACAGGTAGAGCAAAACACTCTCTGCAAACAACCCTTTCAGACCACTGAGCCATTTCTACCACTTAATGTGGTTTGAACTGCACCTTCCAGGAAACTGGTAGACAAGGCAGGGAAACAAAAAACAGATGTGTTCTCCCAACAGCTCATTTCATTCAAACATTGAGCAGCCACATTATGTACCAGTTGAAGCTTTTGGATGTGTTTCAGTGATAGCACTAAAAAGAGCACACTGCAATAAGCTTGCCCTCAGGTCAGAAAATAATAGATAACTGTCTATCAAAGAGGGATTGCCATATTATGTAGGGCAGCTGTAGATGAAAGAAAACAGTATGGCACACGTCATTGCTGTTGTCAAGGAACTGAGATTCAAAAGCAGATAAAATACAGCCCAGACACTGCAAAATGACAGGGGGATGTGTATCTGAGCCTCACCAACAGAAGACCTACTTGTAGTCTAGCCAATTTCTGTAATGCTTTTCTACTCCCCCAAGTTCACCTTTATCCCCTCTGTCTTAAACACGGTTGCATTTCTTCCAGATAGATATTTCTCTGTCTACAAGGCACAGGAAAGGCGGAAACTGCAGCATTTCGGTTCAACACAAAGGCATGGTAGAATGGAGCCTCATATGAATACAGGCAATTGTCTGATAAGTGTGGTATTATTTCTCTGAATTGCCACAAAGACATTTGCAAAAGGTTAAAAAAAAAAAAAAAAAAAATCAACTGGAAAAAAGTATAGTAACATATTCAAATCCCAGAGCAATCAATCCATATATTCCAAGTTCTCTCCATGGCATAGGAAAGAGGTCCTCTACCAAGTCTTACATAATGAAATGTAAAAAACAATAAAATGCAGTGACAGCCAGCACAAGTGCTACACTGGAAATGCCTCTAGCTCTGAATCATACATCTTTATAACGTGAGCTGCCCAGAAGGTCTTGCACTGAACCAGATTCTGAAATCTCATCTGACAGACCACCACATGCATGCGCACACGCATGCACACAGGCACACACATGCTCCTGTTCAGACAAATGCATCACAAAGTACAAAGATACTGTTTGTCACATATAGTATCACATAACGAAAGAGCACAGAGACAGAGGTGACAAGCCACTGCCTCTGCTAATACACCCAGTGTTAGTCACTGAGTGCCCAGATACTTGGGCTAAATGCTAAATTAAACAATTTTCTCCTTCATTAAACACTGTTGCTTGTGGACTTGGCTCTGTCTCAACGTACTGTCTTCATGGGACTTTGTCATCAATCCTTACTCTACCCAAAATCAGAATTCTGATTCAAAAGGAGGAATAAATGTTCTTGCCAGCTAATTTGCTAGAGAATGGTTTTTCTGACACAGTTATCAGCACAGATGATCTCTCAAATGGCAGATGCACTATAATGTTGTTAAATGTGTTTCATTTTAAAACTGAAGAGAGAGATTTGCCGCTATTGCAGTAGGATGGTTTCC